TACATTGGAAAACAGTTAAAAATTTCACGCACCACCGCGCGAAAGCTGAATTCGAAACCTTGAAGAGTGAATAAATAATAGTTTACTCGCCAACTTCCGTGATTCTCGAGTTAATAGCTTACTCGCCAAATTTTTCACGAGGCCGTAGGTGATACTCAAGAGCGCGTGGACGCTGAACTTGAATGGGCATGGTTGAGCGTGGGCAGGCGTCATTACTCTAAAATCTCAACTTCCTGGACCCCGTGGTTGCCAAGATAATAATTTACCCGCAAAAAATTCACTACCCCCTAGGGTGATACCCGAGAGCGCGGGAACGCTGAATTTGAACGGGCAAGGTTGAGCACGGGCAGGGGGTCATAACCTTAAAATTTCAGCCTCCTAGACTCCGTGGTTCCCCAGATATTAATTTACCCGTGAAAAACTTTTACGGGGCCGTGCGTGTTACCCGCGGATATGGGAAGGCTGAATTTAAATTTGCCGTGTCACCCGCTGGCGGGGAACACTATACCAAAATTTTAGCCGTCTAGCTTCTGTGGTTCTCGAGTTGAAAGTGCGGGACAAAATGTGGGACACACATACACACACACACACACACAGACAACCCCGTGACAGAATGCGTTTTGTACTGCTGTTACACAGCACAAAACACATAATTAGTAGCCAATAAGGTACTGCTGATTTTCGACTGGTTTTAACTAATAAAATCGCAGGCGATTGGTTGGGCTTGTCGGGAAAAAGAGTACACCGATTCGCAGATATGCAGCGCTGCTACACATTTTTGCGCTATTTGTTGCCGCGTATTATTCTATAGCTTAATTTACGCCGTCGACTAGCTGCTCATGGCATGATGCTGTTGGATAGACAAGCATTTTCATGATATTTTGAGTTTTCGACAATAATCACTGATAAATGGCGGCATGGGAACCACAAGGAAAGGCGCAGATGGCAAGAAGCGTACTGCTCCCCAACTAGCACAGAACTTCCCGCGATAACATTACCCGTATTATCCGTTTTCAAAGGAAATATATCAAAACCGTGATCAACACGATCATCTGTAGGCTCATCTTGCCTCGTTGTTTTACGAGAGAATGCTCAATTTTAAGGCTTTAAAATGAACACATACCTTTCGGATCAGTCGGTTTTCTGACCTTCTCCCACTCTTCCTGACGCCTCTTCTTCGCCTCCTCAAGCTCCTTCTCACTAACGAAACGATCCGTCATTGTTAGGCTGCTGAAAAATGATAAATTTTTGTTACTTTTAAATACGAAAATACACAGAAAGCAGACTATAATGGGAGCACTGCCTTCTGATCATCGCAGTCGCAAGAAGCGATGCACAACAGCCAAAAGTTCACTCGGTTGTTGACAAAAATTTCGACGAAAATTTGATACTTTGTGGGAATTTGATATTCTGTCCCATCTAGGACAGTTGATGTGATAATTAGACACGGATGGGATACGAGATCTTATCCCTCTGTTGCGGTAAATCATTCCGCACTTATGAAACCACGAGACGTCTTTTTCAACATCGACTGTGTGAAAAAGACCTATCAGTCGCACTGTGCTACCAGTTCTGTTGTATGGAAGTGAAACATGGAAAACCACGTTTGCACAGTAAAAGTTAGCACTGACATAATAAGCCATGGAACGATGACGCATGGTAGAGGAGTCAGCAAGTTGGTGCAATACGTGCATAAAAAGCACTGTAATTTCAGCTTGATATTATTATCAAGGCAGTATACACCGGAAAGAGCTGTTGGGCTAGTGAATACGGCAAAAATGAGAGACGAGAGATGGACGACAAAACGGATTTTTGAATTGCACCGACGTAATGTTAAAAAACAAATGAAAAGCCTCCAGTGCAGCGTGGAGATCCGTCCGAAGGCTCACACGGAATTATGGTTATGAGAGAGGCTCAAAACAGAGAAGAATGGAGAAGTGACCAGCTGCGCCAGTGGCGACACGGAATGCTACGATGAAAGGGAGAAGAAATCTATCCGCTGTGAAAGAGGAAAAAGCCACGAATGTAGCTGAGTGACCTAGTAGTGGTGTAATATTGCTTACTGAGAAGGGGCAGACCTGAGGGAACTGCAATTCAGTAGCTGCGCGGGAACGCAACTGGTCAGCAACCCCAACAGATGCATGATTCCGCAAAAATTTGGAAGTTGAAAAGGTAAGGGTATGACTGGAGCGACAACGATTGCGCTGAAACCTCAGTAAGACCAGCTAGAAACGCACCAGGTTTGCTGGCGCGACCATGTGTTTTTTGGACCAGACTTGAAGTACTCAGTTCATTTAACTGCATGAATGGTTGTTGCTTTACACCTACCTTTTGCGCTCAATAGCGTAAATCACCATAAATTTTGCATAAAATAAACAAACAATTTCCATTTAACGGCCTTTCTTCAAAAGTAACCGAGCTGTTCAGTGAGCAATTTTCCCGTCAAAATGCTTTCCACAGAAGAAATTCCAAGAACAGGCAGGGGAGGAAATCATGCAGGAGCTGGGGCGCGAATTTACGAGAGATGAAGCATCGGCAGCAACGAAGAGGGTAAACAAGAAACAAGGTCAAAGAGACAAGAAAACTGACTTAAGCACGCCCAACTCACTGTCCCCGCAGATGCAAAAAAGCGCAATAAATCGAAACTTGTCCCAGCCGGCTTTATATACAGAGCTAATATGCAATCGGTAAATTGTTGAAGTTGCATTTTCAGCAAAAAACGAAAATTTTTCGGCAATTATTAAAATTCGGGTCAGCCATAAAATAAGAAGGTAAGTTATTATTATTATGGTTTGCCTCATGGACTGGCGAAGTAGGGTGCGAAGGTAAGCGGAAAAAGGGAAGCACCAGAGGGCCTATTTCCAAGGAATATAAAAGAGTGGAGAGACTCAGATATGGACTGGAAAGGAGCTGAGATCTTGCTTACTAGAAGCGATGGTGATGATTAAGGAGGAAGAGGGGTTTTTATAGATCTATGATGTTAAGAAAAAAGAAAAAAAAAAAGAATCAGAGTAGAAATTGGTAAGCTCCTGCTCGCAATCCAACACCTCACCAAAACAAAACCCCACTGATTACTAAAATTCGGCCTGGTTTAGGTACGAGTTGCAAAACTCATGGTAGCGCACAACTACTGGCTTTTATCTCGGGATGGTTTTGGGTCAAGCTTATCAGCTTCAGCTCGGCACATTCGGGGTTTCCTGCTCAGTATCGTAAAAAAACCCGTATGTCCGCTCCTCCACTCGGCAATCCCTCCCCCCTAGCCTCCAGTTCCCACCTCAGCTCTTTTTCCAAACAGTGCCCCCGTCGCCATCCCCCTCCCCCCATTTCTCCGATTAGACCTAAACCAGA